CCTGGGCGCCCGCCCCCGACCCCGTGACCGCGAGACCTGCCAATGACAAGCGCCGCAGCCGCGCGGACCGAGAGTCCGCCCCCACCTAGGCCCCGCCCCGCAGCGAGGCCCCTCCCTCCTATTTCTTCGCTCTCAGGCTCTCAGGCGGAAGCAACACCCGGAGTCGGGATCCCGGGCCGGGTCGGCAGAAAAGGGTGCTAGCTGGGAGCTCCCCGCCCTTCTTCCCCCACCCTGGCCGCTCCCGGCAGCCTAGGGCTTGGCGTGCCTCGCGGAAAGGGGGGAAGGGAAGCAGGCAGATCCGCAGCTGCCGCGTAGAGATGCTTGGAGGCTCGCAGGGCCGTGCAACCTGCCCATCCTGCTCTTACAAAGCGGGCGTCGCGGGAAGTAGGAAGTTTCCCAGCCTCCACCTTCTACTCGGGTCGTCGCTCCTCTCGGAAGAGGGCAGGTTCTGGGATTGCCCGAGGCTGCAAAGCGCCCTGTTGAAGGGCTTTGACAGCATCTCTTCGTGCGCTGTATCCAAGAATCCTGGCCAAAGCACCCTATTCTTTTGGGGATACTGTATTTATGTGCCCCTCCCAAATGCATACACACGTACTTCGTGCACAAACAGCACGCCTCCTCCCCGTTCTGATCTTATTCTCGCTCTTTTCCCTCCTGACACAAAAATCCCGCGCGCAACATCCCATTGAATAGATTTCCAGCCTCCGGGTCCTGAGAAAGACAGTCCACCAAACCACGGAAGGAGTGGATGAAATTGGCCGGGGTAAAGGGGCGGGGGTGTGAGAGTGATGGAAGGAGGAGGCCTCCCGCGAGAGAACACCCAGAGGAGGCGCAAAGCAGAGCGCCAGGCGGAGAAAGGACGCGGAGGGATGGACAACTCCGACTCGGAGACCAGAGCTCCGGCGTCCGATCCAGCTCCCGGGTTTTTCCTCGGTTCAGTCCCAGAGCTTCTGGGGTCCCCTTCCCCCAGGGTCCCCACCTCTACCCAGCCAGGCGGGCCGCCAGGTCTCTGCCTCCGGTTTGCGCGCTTCTCCCTGCACTCCTGGACTCAGATGAGGCCGCGAGAAGGCTCCTTCAGTTCTTGGAAGGAGCAGAGGAAGGATGGGGAGGAGAGGGGTGTGCATGAAAAGGCTGCCAAGCTCAGGCTGCTGCGCTGACCACACTCCCAAAGGTCGGACTGGGGGACCCAAGGGCTTGGAGGTTTAGCCCTACTGAGGCTCGGCTCGGGACCTGGCGCCCGCCTAGGTAACCGCACCCTCGGGCCTCGGGTCGACCCATCCCATACCCTTCCTGCATCCCTCTTCCCTTAAGCCTGGTTAAACCACGACCCCCTTTATCAGTACCGTCCCTTCCCTTGCTCGGGAGCGCTGTTTACCTAATCGCAGTGGCAGACCGCGTCCAGCAGAATGCGAAAGGCAGGTAGCGGTGGCTCAGCAGCGTCCCCGGAGAAGTAAAACAACGTTTGCTTTGGAGCTTCGGGATAAGTTAACTGCGAAGCTGGGGTCCTGCTGTCGTATCTCTGCAGGGATGAGCCTCACCGTGTGCGTTGGAAGGATAAGGAGATCGTATCTGTTTTTGATGCCATTACCGTCTCGGAGAAGAACATTATATGATAAAATATTATCTAATATCCTAGAGACCATTAAAGTGTCAAAGTTTAATGCCAAGCCTTTTAGCTCGAAGGCTGCTCAGTTCTTCCTCTGACGTGCAGCTCTGTTCTAGAACGCCCCGAAAACAAGGGGATCATTTTTATTTTTTGCGGACCAAACGTCCTTTCTTCCTACTCCCTTCCTCCTCCCCCACCCCAACCCCGCCCAGGCCTGGGCGAAGTTAAAGCAACCATTTGTGCTTTGTTTTTACTTATCATTGTACTTGACTTCATTAGTGGTGTAAAATATATTACAACACATTACCATATTAATAAGGGTAACATGACTGAGGGTGGGAAGAAGTTAAAGCAACCATTTGTGCTTTGTTTTTACTTATCATTGTACTTGACTTCATTAGTGGTGTAAAATACATTATTACAACACATTAGCATATTAATAAGGGTAACATGACTGACGGTGGGAAGAGACCCGAAGTTTACAAGCAAAGGAGAAATCATTGAATAGCATCAGAAACTGAAAGATAAGCACGTGAGAAAGAAACATCTCTATTATAATTACCCAAGTGTGGTTCTTCCCTAGATAGAGCCTTAGAGAGACAAATAGAACAGTGGTGAGGGAGGGAGCAATGTGCCCACTGGTCAGTAAGGTACACTAAAAACATAATGCATTAAAGGGAATTTCACGAAATGTATTTGCATTGGTCAATAAGCACCTCAGGAACGTTGTCACAATGAAATATTCCACAAATGGAACCCTTTGGTTCGTCAATGTCATGTGAAGCCCAGCCAAGTCTACACTTAAAGAATTTCTTTGAAAAACTGTAAAGTTCCTGAACTCCTCAATCCAAGAATCAATCTCTTTCTCTCTCTCTCTCTCTCTTATATATATATATACACACATGTATATATGTATGTATATATATATGTATATACATATATATATGTCAATGGAAAACCTAAGGTAGCATGTAGCTGCCTAGGAATTATAGCCCTTTGACAAAAACCAAGATATAAATGTCTCAAAAGGCTTTCAACTATGACATAATATAGTATGAGGAACGCAGAATAAAATATGTAAGGTGATATATCTGTTATTTCTAAAGAATCGGCACAGCTTCTGCTAAGAACTGAGAAATGAAAAAAATATTGAGCCCTCTAAACTAACTTATCTATTTATCTCCACACAGTTATTGTACCTGTCACGGAAGAGATTCAGAAAGATCTCTTTTTTATTATTACTAGGGTCAAGGAAACAGAATGCTAAGAAACCTGAGGTCTTAAAGCGGCCACTAGGGGGCCCTAAAGGCATCTCAAAGAAGAAGCCAGAACATAAGCTCTGAACTCCGTTTTCCTGGGTCTTATTTTCTGTGTACCTAATGGAAGTGGAATCTAAAGACAAGGTGAAGAACACGGTGTAAAGTTTGGAAATAAATCGGGCTTTATGTTTTGAAAGACCCAAGTCCAATTTTAATGCATGAGTCAAGAACTTAGTTTCTCAATTCTATTTTCACCTACCCTCACCCCTCCCCCAAAAAATTAGTGCATTTGTTGAGATGATGGAGTCTGAAACTCCTCATCTTAAAATCAACCGAAGTATTTTTAACCTTCCAAACAGGACCTACCTATTAAGATTTAGAGACTGTTTTATGAATGTTTTGCACGTTTGTCAAGAGCTAGGTAGGAAAGTGATTGAGCTCTCACCACAGGGATATATATATAAAATATTTAACAGCTTGTACAGCAGGATACCCACCTGCTAACTTACACGAGGACTAACCCGCCACAGAGTCACTAGCATCAGAGCAGAGTTCAGGGGCTCCCCGCCAGGCCAGGCATTCTTTAGTGCTAGATTCTGGTGAAAAAGTGGTGCTAGTGGAAGGAAGGGGTGTTTCTGGGGGAGGAACAGTGGCATCCTGAGTGGGAGTGAGGAGTGTGTTGAAGGGACTACTTGCCAGCCAGTATGGAAAGACTGCAGTATCAAAGTAATGTTATATTTGTCAAAACAACTAAATATCACGTCTCATCCTATAGAATGCTGCTCTAAATTTTCATGTCGGTTTCAATATCTAGCAATCAAAATTTCCAGGGCTTCTGAATCCTTACCAGCTGCATTATATCTTTCCCATATCTTACCAGAAAGTAAGGTTAAGATGTTCTTCATGAGGGTCAAAAATCAAACAGTACTCAGCCCACATATAGAGAACCCAAATTTTCCGCCAACAGATAGAAATATCTGCAAAAGATATTATACCCAAGTACATTTCAAGGGAAAATTTAAGCACCAGACATGAAACATTCCTCTGTCATTCAGGCCAATAATCAAAACGCATTCCTGAACAAAA